TACTGTGGTGGTGCTGAGCAGGCACCACAGACACTGCTTCCCCAGGAAGAGCCCCATCACCAGCTCACCTCCACCCCAAACAGGTAGGACATGGCTGGGGAGCATGGGCATGGCAACATCAACCTCAGGAGCTGCTAGGACCCATCATTGGTGTCCTGTCACTGGTGTCCCATTCAGCTGCCACCACTGCTCCCCAGGAAGGGGTAGGACACATCTTGGTGGCTTGTCTGCAGCTTTTGGCCACTTCCATGCCCTGTTTCTGCCCAAAGGAGGGTGTGAGGAAGTTGGAGAGGGGTCATGATGGTGACACAGCAGCCACCAAGGTGATGGGGCTCTGGTTTTGCTCCTTCCCATGTAGGCAGTGTGAAACGAAGCTGTTGCAGGAGGAACTGGACAGGCTGGAGTTGAGCTGCCTGCAAGGTGAGAGCTGCTGGGCAGGAGGACATGGCAGAGATGACCATGAGATGAGGAGGGGACCAGGGTCTGAAGCTCCAGCGTGTCCCCATCCTGTGCTGGGCCATGTCTGGGTTACCCTAGTGTGCTGGGGACAGCAGTGATGGGAGTGTCACCACCATGTTCCTGCAGAGCCCTCAGGCCCCGAGCAGCCCCCAGCCATGGCAGGGGAGGTCCCCAGCACAGCAGGACACACATCACCCATCCATGGTGGCTGGACGACAAAGCTGAGCTCACATAAGGTAAGTGTTAGGTGGGACATCCTCAGGTGGTGGGGCCAGACCCTGTTCCTGGTGTCCCCTTGAGGGTCAGGTCCTCATCATGACCATGCTTGTGGGTGCAGGACACCCCACTGGGAGAGGGGCCAGGGCTGGGGACATGACACACAGGGAGAAACTTTGAGTGGAGGGGGGTGTCCTGTATGATCCATGTGTCCTCAGGGGACAAGGGCCATCTCCTGCAGGACAAGGAGGGTCAGCAGGGATGGAGGATGCCCTGTCTAACCCCCTTCTCCAACCAGGAGATGCTGGAGGTGTCTGTGGGCACTGGGAAGCACTGGGAGCCCAAACCTTGCAGCCCAAGCAAGTCTCTGTCCAGTGACATGTGAGTCCCATCCATAGGGGACATCCCTTCTCCAGCACCACCAAGGGCTGGTGTCACTGTCTGACCTGACAGTGGGGAGACAACCCTGCTGGGGGGACTTCCTGGGGTGCTGATGGGTCTCTCCTCTGCTGATAGGTCCTTGGTGTCCCCACGGTCCCTATGCCAAGGGCTCACCAGGGCTGGGCAGCGATGCCGGAAAAAAGCCATCCCCGGGCAGGACTTCTGCCATGTCCACACCAGTGGTTGAACCTCATACAGCAGCTTGGCCGTGGGCTCATCTCTCCATGTTTGACCCTCTACTCCCTCCCAGAGGGGTTTTAAACCCTCTTTTAGCTCTTCCAGGTCCTGCTGGAGAGCACATGGTGGTGCTCAGGACCCTAAAGGTGCCATCTGATGTGGGTATGGGACTGTTCTGCAGAGCAGATGTTCCACATCCCACCACTTTAAACCTATTTCCATCTATTGTAATAAATGCCCTATTTACAGCTGGAGCTTCCCCCATTCTGGTGTCCCCCCATCCTGATGCTGGGGCTTTAAGATCATCCCCATATGCCAAAACCAACAGCAAATGCCCGGTTGCCATTCTTCTGCCAGAGGAACCCTGATCACCTTCCCTTTATTACAGCCTAATTAAATACAGGTAACTAGTAGTGTAGCCCATTAGAGCTCAGCCAGAACCACCAGTCTCTTGGACACAGCCAAGCTGGTGGCTCCAGTTGGTTGCTACCATCTAGTCTGGGGTCCCAGCACCTTTTGGGGTGCATAAACCTTCTTTCCACCTGTACTGAGCATCCCACACTGCTCCCAGCAGCAGGTAGGACCATGGTGGCTTCTCAGTGGGCTTTGGCAGCCCTTTTGTACTTTGGAAATGTCACTGTCTCCCCCCCCAGCCCCGTCCTCTGCCCCAGCAAAGGACAACCCTGAGTTGAAGAGGATGATGCCGGCACCGCGTTGACTCGTCACTTCCTGGCGTTGGCATAGTTGGTGCTGAACCAGGCGCAGGTCTCCTTCACGGCTGGGAGGGAGAAGACGGGATGGGTTTGGGATTGGAAATGCAGTTTGGGCATGGAATGGGTTGGTCTGGAAGGGACCTTAAGGATCATCCAGTTCCAACCCCTTGCCATGGGCAGGGACACCTTCCACTAGAGCAGGTTGCTCCAAGCTCCATTCAACCTGACCTTGAATGTTTCCAGTGCTGGGGCATCCACCACCTCTTTGGGCAGCCTGGCCCAGTGTCTCATCACCCTCACCATAAACAATTTCTTCCTCTTTTAGTTTAATACACTAAAAAAGCCAGGTTGAGTGGAGCTTGGAGCAACCTGCTCTAGTGGAAGGTGTCCCTGCCCATGGCGAAGGGCTGGACGTCGAAGGGACTTAAGGGACCTT